CCAATTCATCTAGAGGCCCTTCAAGGATTTCCATAGTATTTCTACTTGGGCTGCTGATGACTAGCTTTGAAACAACAGGTATGTATCTCTCGCACAAATGCACCCACACCCACACACAAACACCCGCAGGCATGCATGCCTGATGCACGCACATATGTAGTGTATATGTGTGTGTGGTTGTCTATGAATCGAGAATTCTTCCAACAATAAGGATTTTTGTTAAGGATTAGTTGAGGAATTTTAATCTCAGCCATCCTTTAGATATATGTATTAGTGAGTTACGTATTTTTGTTCATATATACTATACATGCGATTCAATAGGTGAGATTAGAAGTCCATAACCTATGCTTAGCATAAAATCTTTCATTAATGGAGCTAAGCCCAAAGAACTTTACATTGGCTGAAACAATTCATATATTTTTTGAGCAACTGTTTAAAATGATCCGCATAGAAAATCGATCAAATTGGATATCATTTAGCAATTTGAATATATTCACGATCATTTTAGCGACAAATTATATTGTACAAATCTAGTGAAATTTTCTCCAAGATCATAAAACCTCATCATAATTTCTTCTTCAATATTGCAGGAGCCCAAATTGGTGTATGTTATGGAATGCTTGGAGATCGTTTGCCACCCCCATCAGAAGTTATTGCTCTTTACAAGCAAAATAACATCGGAAGAATGCGTCTGTATGATCCAAACCAGGCTGCTCTAGCAGCCCTTAGAGGCTCTAATATTGAGCTCATACTAGACGTTCCAAATGGCGACCTTCAAAGCCTTGCCTCAAGCCAAGCCAATGCAAATACTTGGGTCCAAAACAATGTGAGAAACTATGGCAATGTAAGATTCAAATACATTGCGGTAGGAAATGAAGTCAAGCCCTCAGACTCCTTTGCACAATTTCTTGTCCCAGCCATGCAAAACATTCAGAACGGAATTTCTAGTGCTGGTTTGGGAATTAAAGTCTCCACTGCCGTAGACACTGGAGTGCTTGGAAAGTCCTTTCCTCCATCGAACGGAGAGTTCAAGTCTGAATATGGAGCACTTTTGAACCCCATCATCCGCTTCCTAGTGAACAACAGATCGCCGTTGCTGGTTAATTTGTACCCTTATTTCAGCTACAGCAGCAACACTCGCGACATTCGTCTAGATTATGCTCTTTTCACAGCCCCATCAGTTGTCGTACAAGATGGCCAACTTGGCTATCGTAATCTTTTCGATGCCATTTTGGACGCTGTTTATGCCGCTCTTGAGAAGGCTGGCGGAGGGTCTTTGGAAATTGTCATATCCGAAAGTGGTTGGCCATCAGCTGGTGGAACGGCAACAACAATTGATAATGCAAGGACTTATAACGCAAATCTGATTCAACATGTGAAGGGAGGGACTCCAAGGAAGCCCGGAAGGGCCATAGAAACCTACATCTTTGCCATGTTTGATGAGAACAGAAAGAACCCTGAGTTGGAGAAACACTGGGGGCTGTTTTCACCAAGCAAACAGCCGAAATACCCAATCAATTTCAACTGAGTAGCTAGGCAAGTGTAGTTGTGGTTAGCAATCTAACCACCAATAAAACCGCAATAAATAGGCTGTCATGTATCGCATCACATGTACCCAAATAATGCTCACATACAGCAAATAATCTTATAAAATTACCTTAACTTAAAATATTATGTCTTTTCTTGGCAATATTGATGCATTACAAAAGCAACTTAAAATTTTAAAGAGTGGTGATTTCCCCACTCTTTTTTCTCCTATTTTATCCACTTACACTCCTTTTTTATAACTAAAAAAGGAGTGTAAGTGGATAAAATAGGAGTGGGGAAATCATTACCCATTTTAAAATATTTTAAAGATTATGTCAAGAAATTTCTTGGCAATATTATGTCTTTTCTTAAAATATTATGTCTTTTCTTTTCTTTTTTTTTATAAAATTACCGTAACTTAAAATATTATAATCTCATTATGTTAAGAGTCTGTTAAAGACAAATTGCAGATATAAGTTTAGTAAGTCGGATTAGGGGATGTGCTCCCCACTTTGCCCTGAGTTCAAATCCTTCTTCCCATAATTTAGAATAAATTAAAGTAAAATATTGCTTGTATAAAAAAAGACATTATTTAAGTTGAGATAGATGTCAGTGTCATTGTCATGACCCGAACTCGGGGGTTGGTGGAAATCCCGCACCTGGAGGGTGAAAAAAAATAAAAAATAAAAAATAAATAAATAGAAGCCGAAACATGAGTTTAAAATAAACTTCTTTTATAAAAATAGCTCCAAAAATCTTACAACTTTACAATAAATAAATAAAACTCTACAACTCTCATCTAATTCAGCCTCAATCGATTTAGTCCTCGTCTTGTCCACTAATTCATCTGAAAAGTTAAACAGGGTGATGGATGAGCAATTACCGCTCAATAGGGACATGAGACCTTACCACAGTAGATTGATATCACTAAATTAAGTGACATGCAATCTATAAAACCCCATATTTTTAAATATGTATATTAATATTTCATAAAATTAATTATTTATAATTATTAGTTTTCAAAACTATATATATATATATATATATATTAGTTAGTTGTATGGTAAGCTACGCGAATCTAGCTATAGCCCATCAAACCTCATTGTATGACTTTAACTATAGCAATTCATTTAATATTTATTCTATACACACAAAAGCTTTTAGAAAGGTATCGGTGCTTACTAAGCTTTCTCTTAAGTGACGTGTTGCATTAGGGAGTCTTCAAAAACCAATTGAAGCATGAGGTGGTATGTTTTGGTATGAGGTGTAAGAACAATAGATATTCATGTATATATAAATGTAATTGGCAAGTGCTCACTAAGCACTCTCCGGAAGCCAACACCTAAGACTAAATGGGGTGGCAGTTTTACCTTCAAGCCACCCATATAGTCTATAAATCCTAGGATGTAGTCTAGAGATCCCTAGGTTCGTTAGGTGGCATAATGTTAAGCTTCATCTATATTTCCTTTATCGACTCTAACCTACTATATATAGTTCTAACTAATAGTTATTGAATCATAGGTTCTTCAAAGTTGTGTTAGTTTCTTAAAAATTCGAGAGTGAAAACTAAGTGTGTTAAGATTTTGGAAAAGCTCAACTGGGAGATAGCTTTGGATTTGAGGTAGGGGTTTTTCTTGGGGAAGTTTTGCATACATTGATTTAATTAAATATTGTAAATACTATATTATGCTTGGTAATATTATGTTGATTATTATTGTAAATCCTATATTAAGCTTGGTTATACTGTTTGATTGTTATCCTTGATATTGGATATATACGTGTTGTCAATTATCATTATAATTTGATTAATTTTGACATATTCATATGTTGTCGGTGGTGGTTGGAATTTTTGGGTTGATAAAGAAATTATGGAAAAGAGGATAATGGGAAGAATCTTTTGTATAGTTGAGTCTAACCATTGTAGGGACCAAGTTCAGGCAAGCCTGTGTGCACAGTAGATTAGGAAATCGGTAGTATAATTGTCGATTGGGTGATTTGGGCTTGGAGATCAATGGTGTAGACAAGATGACTAGCAAAAGGGAAATTATGGGATGATTCAAATGGGTGTTAGTTTATATAATGGGGCATTCGGAATCACAGTGGTAAAATGCATGGTATGGGACATGCTGATTTGCTTGCCCTATTATATAGATTAACAGGTTGGGTAGAAATGAAGTTCATTCATGTATTGCATAAATTGTACATTATAAATCTCACTAATCACATAAGACATAGGACCCCTACTGAGCATGTAATGCTCACCCCTTATAGAATCTGTTGCAGGCTTTGAAACTGAAGTTTAGTTTTTGCTGAGTAAACAAGAAGAATGAGTTGTGGATAGTTTTGAGTGTTTTATTGAAAGTTTGTTACTTTCTTGTTATTTTGCTTTGTAATAGTACAATGTAAATTACTTTAACTTAAATAAAAGTTTATGTTCAATTTTCATGTTTCTTGATATTTAAATTTTCATGTACCATTATCTATATACAGATCGAGCTGCAGGCCATACAAGTTTTTTTGTTCCAAAATTACACCAATAACTAGATGTTTAAATACTTATAGCCAGACAATTATGTGCAAATTCATTAGCATTGTAGATCCAATAAGTCAGGTTAACAATGGAAAATGAAAACACATAGTGAAGAAATACCCTGGAACATATCCAAAAAAGAAGCCACAAATTTCCCCAATTCATTTTCTAAGACCTAATTCAACCTCATCATTATCCAAAATAAATAAATAAACATATAAAAAATAAAAATACAAAAAGCAAAATACAAAATAATAATAATAATAATAATAATAATAATAATAATAAGAGCAAAAAATAAATAGAAAATAAAAAGGAGAGTACTACCTGTTGGAGGAGAAAGAAGAGAGATCTGGAGATGTAGAGAAGAAGTGAAAATCAAGAGAGGAGGCGCAGAGAATGAAGCTAGGATCATTGGAATTGCAAGGATCAGCTGTTATTCTGGACTCTGGTGCTGCCCGAAATCTTATTAAGGGCACCAAACATTGGATAGGACACTAGTCTACTTTAATTGACCCAGCAACCAAACAATGCCTTATTGTATAGATAGCATACCATGGAGCCTTCTTTCACTATGTTGTTCTTTTCCTATGGTTTCAATATTTGTCTCTTATAGAAAAAAGCAAAAAGAAAAGAATGATACTCTTCTTATGAAAAGAAGGCTAGGATTCTAAGACTAAAATCAGAATAGCTCCCAGGTTAGGAACTTCTGAAAAGGAGGTACATGATTCATCATTCTGTAGTATCAATTGAACTTCTAAGTCACTCAGATGTCACACAATAAAACAAAAACAAGTGAACAAATAATGATCTAGGTCTACACAGGTCTCTTCGTATACCCAATTTGCAACAACAATGCAAAAAATAAAATTTCAGTGTCATTAAATTACTTTGATACTCCATAACAGGTCAACAGAAGTAAGAAGAATCAGTTTTGGTTGCAACTTGTAATGAAACTTCTTGTGTTTTAGTCTAATTCTGTTGTTCATGAGTTTAAAAAGCCAAAAATGAATAAGAGATGGCTACTTTTTTTCCCCTCTTATTAATTTCCAGGTAAAAGAGTCGAACAAAAATTCCTGAAGAATAGTGGAATGTTGATGCAGGTATCTGCTGAATAAATTATCATGAACTTCAAAAAATGGTAGAGGACGGTTGGTAATCTTTATCCTTCATATGCTTCATTAGCCTTCGGATCTCATGACGTACATTTTCAATTTGTGGATGCATCTCATCACCAACAACAAATACATGAACCTGACTCTTCAACTCAATCCAGCTACACCCAGGTTCTTTGCTCACCCCTCTAAGTTTCATCAGACTCCTTACCCGCTCAACATCTTTACTACTGCCCAAGGCAGTATATATGCTTGACAACAACACATAAGCTGATGATTCCTGAGAGCCTAACTCCATTAACTTCTCTCCAACATAGGCTCCCAATTCGTAATTATGATAGTTCCGACAAGCACTTAATAGAATACGCCATAAACACATACCATGATCAATAGTGGCTGATTCTATAAACTCTTTGGCTTCATCTAACTTCCCAGCACGGCTCAATACATCAACCATGCAAGCATAATGGTCCACCCTTGGGCCTATGCCAAATTCATTAGACATCATGTTGAAATAAATCCACCCCCTCTCTACTAATCCCATATGGCTGCAAGCAGAGAGAATATTCACAAATGTAATGTAGTCCGGCTTTGCGCCCTCCAATCGCATCTCCTCAAAGAGCTCTAGAGCCTCTGTACCCCTCCCATTTTGTGAAAGCCCAGATATCATTGCATTCCAAGATACTGTATCCCTCATTGGCATCCTCCTAAATACCAGATTCCCATCTTCCAAATTCCCACACTTTGCATACATGGTTGAAAGAGCACTTCCAATTGGAACTTCAAGACTGAATCCATACTTGATGGTACGTGCGTGGATTTGCCTTCCTTGTTCAAAAGCACTTAGACTCGAACATGCTTTTAGGACACTAGCCATAGTTAGTTCATTGGGCATCATTCCTTCCCTCTGCATTCTGCAATACAAAGTCAAAGAAGCTTCATTCTCTCCATTTTGCACATACCCTCCAATCATAGAAGTCCAAAGAACAATATCAGGTTCTCTTAAATAATCAAACCCCTTACGAGCATCACTGACATTACCACATTTGGCATACATGTCAACCAAAGCTGTCATTATATATATTTGGAATTCGAAGCCCAACTTTAATGAATAGCTATGCATTTGCTTTCCTTCTTCAAGAGCACCAATGTCACTACAAGCATTGATGACTCCAACAAATGTAAACTCACTTGGCATAACCCCAGAAAAATGCATATGTGAAAACAAGTCCAAAGCCTTTTGAGAATCCCCACTTTGTGCAAAACCAGTTATCATGGCAGACCATGTGATAGAATTCTTATCACCAGACGTTTTGAAAGTTCTAAGTGCATCATCCAAGCTCCCACATTTTGCATACATGGTTACAAGCGCATTTTCAACAGAAACGAAAGATATCAACCCAATTTTCACTGCAAGAGAATGAATTTGCTTACCAGTACCAACAAACTCAGGAAGCGCCAAGGCACTAAGAACACCGGTCAAAACAAATTCATTCACCTCTTCCTTCACCTCATTTCTACGCCGCATCAATCCAAAAAGTGCCAGTGCATCTCCCGCCAGCCGTTGCACAGCATACCCAGATATCATAGTAGCCCACGAAACTGAATTCCTCTCAAGCATTCTATCAAACACCTTACGAGCATCCAATACAAGACCCGCTTTACAATACATATTGAGCAGAGAACTCCCGACAAACACATCATAAAAGCTGTCAGCTTTGATTGCAAGTGCATGAGCTTGCCGGCCGCCAAAGACGTCCGGCGACGCATACGAAGCTGCGGTGAAAACTCCAGCAAAAGTGTGCGCATTTGGGAAGGCGTTCTCAGCCCGCATGCGTTGAAAAAGCTCCATGACATGGGAGGAGCCGTTTTGTCCTTGCTGAGAGTAGCCATTGATGAGAGAGTTCCATGAGACGACGTCCTTGTCGGGTATAGCCTCGAAGACGAGCTTGGCTTTGGGCAAGTCTCCGCATTTGGCATAGAGGTTGACGAGGCTGTTGGCAATGTAGACGCAGGAGTTGGGACCGGTTTTGATGATCTGAGCGTGGAGAGCTTTGCCCTTTTGGAGGTCCTTTTGACGACTGTATTGGATGAGTGTGGTGAACAAGGAACGGTACTGAGATGGAAGCGAAGAAAGACTCATCAACAGACACAGCTATAATCAAATGCCGTCCCTCTTCTTTTTCTAGTTCTGTTTCTCTCTCTCTCTCACTCACTCTCTCTTCCCATAATTGAACACACAGAGCAACTTCTTCAAACAGTTAGCACAATGGCGCAAACCCCATTCTTATGTTTGCTAAATTATGCGGTCCCTCTCCTCAAAGTTGGCAATTTTGACAACCAGAAACAAATAACTGGAACAGCTCACACAAGGTTACCAAAAATATATATATATTGGATATGCAAGTAACATAAAAAAAAAAAAAAAAAAATGGAAATGCAATTAACCTTACAAATATATTGGAAATGCAACAAATATTAACAAAATATTATTTATGCAAGAAATATTAACAAAATATTGCAAATGCAAGAAACATTATATATATATATATATATTAGGACATTATACTTAAGAAAACAAAAATTACAAAATATTTACCTTGCTACTGAGATTTTTCCCGCTTCTATGGTTGTTCCTCACTTTTGCCAAGGCATCTCTCCATTTTCGCAATTCTTTATTGAGAATTTTCCACCTCCTAGACAATGTCATTTCAGTATGAGTCGACCTCGGAATTCTTTCACAAAATTCGGCATGAATTTTTTTCCACATATGACAAAATTTCATCTCATTGGCTGACACGGGACAATAACTAATTTGGACCCAACACTCAAACAAGAAAACATCTTCCATGATGCTCCACGCCCCTCTGGTTTCGATAAAAGAAGCCATAAAGATAAGAAATAAAAATACAATTTGAAAGAGATGATAATGTTGAGTAAAGAGTAAATAATAGTAGAAGTAGAAGAAAATGTATGAGGATTAGTGTTGAAAGTGAAGGGTATTTATAGGTATTTATAGAGAAAAAAAATTCAGAGTTTTTTGGTTTTTTTTTTTAAAAAAAATTCGAATTTTTTTCATAATTTTATTGCCAAAAAGAGGCCAGCCGTTGGATTGGAGAAGGAGAAGCAGATCGAAGCGTCTGATAATGTTGAGTAAAGAGTAAATAATAGTAGAAGTAGAAGAAAATGTATGAGGATTAGTGTTGAAAGTGAAGGGTATTTATAGGTATTTATAGAGAAAAAAAAAAATCAGAATTTTTTAGTATTTTTTTTAAAAAAAATTTCGATTTTTTTTCATAATTTTATTGCCAAAAAATGTCAGCCGTTGGATTGGATTCGGAGAAGTAGATCGGAGCGCTGGGGGCGTGACACGTGGCTTCCACCTGTTGGAGGCAACATCGCATTGACGTCAGCGCACTCTGGTTTAAATTTTTTTTACCGTTAGCGCGCGATGACGTCAGCGTGACGTCACAACACGCGGGCTCGACCTCGGGCCGGACTGGGATGGTTGAAATTTTTTTTGCCTTGCCCAATTGCACCAAACCACATATGTGCTTTCATAATCTATGAACAAAAAAAAAATGAAAATGCAAGAAATATTTAAAATATATTGGAAATGCAAGTAACATAAAAAAAAAATAATGGAAATGCAATTAACCTTACAAATATATTGGAAATGCAACAAATATTAACAAAATATTATTTATGCAAGAAATATTAACAAAATATTGCAAATGCAAGAAACATTATATATATATATATATATTAGGACATTATACTTAAGAAAACAAAAATTACAAAATATTTACCTTGCTACTGAGATTTTTCCCGCTTCTATGGTTGTTCCTCACTTTTGCCAAGGCATCTCTCCATTTTCGCAATTCTTTATTGAGAATTTTCCACCTCCTAGACAATGTCATTTCAGTATGAGTCGACCTCGGAATTCTTTCACAAAATTCGGCATGAATTTTTTTCCACATATGACAAAATTTCATCTCATTGGCTGACACGGGACAATAACTAATTTGGACCCAACACTCAAACAAGAAAACATCTTCCATGATGCTCCACGCCCCTCTGGTTTCGATAAAAGAAGCCATAAAGATAAGAAATAAAAATACAATTTGAAAGAGATGATAATGTTGAGTAAAGAGTAAATAATAGTAGAAGTAGAAGAAAATGTATGAGGATTAGTGTTGAAAGTGAAGGGTATTTATAGGTATTTATAGAGAAAAAAAATTCAGAGTTTTTTGGTTTTTTTTTTTAAAAAAAATTCGAATTTTTTTCATAATTTTATTGCCAAAAAGAGGCCAGCCGTTGGATTGGAGAAGGAGAAGCAGATCGAAGCGTCCAGGCTGTGACACATGTCTTCTAGCCATTGGAAATGTGCAGGGCTGACGTCAATGCACGTGAGTTCAAAAAATTGAACTGCGCTATGGCGTCATCCTCCCCTCGGGCTTGAGCTCGACCGAAACCTGCCTTCAGGCCAGCCCGTCTTCGTGGCTCCCATAGCCAGCCCGGGTAAGAGTGGCCCGCTGGAACTGGGTTTTTTGCGCAGCCCCCCATGCATTGGGCCTGGGCTTCTCGGTGGAATAGCTCTAAGGGGGTGGGTGTATTGAATTAGAATTTTAGAGAGTTTAAAATTCGGGTGTATTCAATTTGGATTCATATGAATTTTAAAAGAGTTTCTACAAGACTAATTTCCCTCAAAGACCTGGCCCAATTTCATGTAGAATTGACAAAATCAAACCAAGAAATTTCTAGGTTTTTCAAGAGTCAAAATCATTCGTTCGAGGGCTTTAACGGTGGAATTGATCTTTGAGCAAAGGTATAAAGTTACTCCCCTTGATGTGCTTGATCTATAGGTATGAATATTGACCCGCAGATTGGAGTTCTCTGACTGTTCAATTCGGACCAAACTTGCAGTGCATATTTAGTAAAGTGTGTTGAACCTATAGGAACTCTCAGATTGGTAATCGGCGGTCGTGGACCTCATGGGGTACCGAGTTGACCATTATGGGAAATTAATCGCTTATTTAATCTTGAGTTTTTTCAGACCATTCCAGCTGTCAGAAATGTTGAAAATGGGCATAGGAACCTTCTTAAGTTACGTACACGCACTTTTGAGGCCAGGGGTTAGGGTTTTGATTAAATATTTGTGCTTGAGCTATTTTATTAATTAAATATTTCTAATTGCTTAAATAGGTGCTCCGGCTTTATTGAACCTGCAAGAAGGACCCTCAAAGGGTCAAGCTAACTCGAACGCACAGTGAGTGGAATTTTGTTTTATAAATGAATTTTATGCAGTAAAAGTTTTATTATTTCTCTGGAATGAATTATTTATGGTTTTGTTTTCCAAGCAATTAGTTTGAATCCAAATTTTTTTAATAAATTCTGTTTATGTTTAAAAGTGAATGGCTTGGAATTATAATTTTTTCAAAAAAAGTTTTTAAACCACCATAGGTACCCAAAATGTTGTCTTTGGATAAATTGTTGCCTTCAGTTATAATGATGTCCACAGACATTTTAGTTGCCTTCGGTTGAGTCAGCGCGCGTTTGACAGTTACCCCACGAGTCTTAGGGATATTCGGACTGTGAGGAGTGAGGACTGCGGCTTAGGTTGACCAAGTGTCTCCTGAGTCTTGCGAGGAATGTGGCTCAGGTTGACTTTGTGTCACCGAGGCTTGCAAGGATGTGTCGCATTATGTGACATAAGGAATTGACGGTATAATGTGGGGAATAAATATAAAAATCATGGAATTGACGGATATATGATGGGTACACCTAGGTGGAAAGGAATTATTTCTTTACAATGCTTTCAATAGGTTTTGATGATTTGATTGAATGCATGATCAGTTATATATGCATGTCTTAATTCTTGTATGAATATAGAACATGGATATAATTGAATTTTCAAATGGTTTTGACAGTGTGGTTAGTATGTTGATATTATATTTTCCAAAACTTTATTTTGTCCACTCACACTTTTAAATGTTTTGCGCCCCCATGCAATAGTCGTGTACCAGAGCACCACAACAAGGCGGTCATCACTCATCACTCCTCCTTTTCCTCTTTGTAGGATGTTCTCGTGTACTGTTCTACTTTTGTAATTTACTGAATTAGCTTGCTTTGAAATTACCCTAGGATTTCTGTAAGGCTTGAGGCCATAAAGATTTGTTGTTTGGTTGCATGAATTCTAACATTGTGCATGATGAATGGTTGTGGACATTTGAATTGCGTGTTGTACAGGTAAAAAAGTTTGGGAACGAGCAATTTACAGGAGTGACTTTGCTGAATTTTTTGCAGAAGTCAAACCCTAAAGAAATTTTTGAATTTTAGTTAGAATGGCAATTTGGTCAAGTGTGCTCGGCACCTACCAAATGTCGGACACGCACAGGGTTTGGCTCATATTCCAAAATAGAATTTGAGTCGAGTCCTGTCATATTTAATTTAATTGAAACCATATTCATATTTATTTTGATTACATTGGTGGTTTGATTAAATTGTGAGTTTTTATTTTCATTATTTTGTATATGTATAATATATTTAATTTAATTGAAATTCAATTCATATTTATTTTGATTATATTGATGGTTTGTTTATATTGTGAGTATTTATTTTGATTATTTTGTATATGTAGAATTATTATGGAATGATTTTTAAGAGAAAGTCATCATCGAGTTCGGGTAGTTCAGATAATGTTGATAGTTCAAATAATGTGGGTAGTTCAAGAACTCAAGTTCAAGACAAAGTCAGTTAGACGGTGTTTTGGGTAATCTTCAAGTGGACCCTGGATTAAGAACTTGAATGATAGATTATGATGCTAATATGAGAGATGAGGTCCGAAGATCATATCTACAAAAGAGACATTGTCAACCTAGAGGTCATAATTTCCCACAAACTAATTTTTCATAAATTAATCGACGCTTCATTCCTTAATGGTTTGATGAGTTTGATTGGTTGGATTATAGTATATCTAAAGATGCGGCATTTTGTCTTTATTGCTATTTCTTTAAAACCAATTTTGAACAAGTAGGTAGTGAAGCTTCCACTGGAGATGGATTTAAGAATTGGAAGAAATGGGGATAAAGATTTAAGATGCATGTTGAACCGGTTGGGAGTGTTCATAATAAAGCTAGAGAAGCTGCTATAAATTTGATAAATCAAAATACGCATATTGAAACGGTAGTAAGCAAACACTTCGACCAAGCTTGTAAGGCTTATCGCACATGCTT